AACGTTCTTTTATATTTCTATATTATAGCTATTTTTAGAAATACACTATTCCCGCCAATTTTAAATGTATTTGTGTCGTGAAGAATATCTTGGACTTTAATGACCAGACAACTGACCTTCAATAATCGATGGACCAAGGTTCACATAAGAATACAGATAGTCCATCATCCATTTTCTAAGTTTTTATGATCTGATCTGGTAGTGTGAGAGGCTATTTTTATACTATAGTAGTGTGTACTATTTGGTACTGCTTCCTTAAATAGTAAGTTTTTACTGTATGAATACAATTCTTATTAATATGTTTTTAGAAATGTATTATAGACATTTACTATATGAATAAAATGGATATTTATATGTTTTTTTATATTTTTAATATTTTATATAATTTAAAAGTTATTAAAATTGCGGGGGCGTATCGGAAAAGTTATTAAAAATTCGGGGGTATTATGGGAAAGTACCTAATATTCTTCTATAGTTTTGCACTAAGGAGGTTTATTTTCTCTATATTTAAATGATGTATGCTAATATAGTGGCGGGTTGCTGCAGATGCGAGCGGTGATTCAAAGCGAATTCAACAATGCCATTAAGGGAAGATTTAAAATTGGGAAATATAAAAAAGCCTTCCTAAAGACACGTATTTATACAGAGAGATTGATAACAAATGCAGACCCAAAGAATATGGTATTTCAAAAAAATCCTGGCTTCTTTCTTCGTTAAAGTAGAAAAACACGCACAGAAAAGTATTTAGTACAGCAATAGGCTCCGAAACAACAAACCAGTCCATTCAAGAGCAATACCTTCATCCACAAAATAGAGGCTATAGTTACGAAAGAGGACCCTCTGACTTAAAAAAAGGGCAATTGTTATGAAGCTCACTATACCTCAATAAACAAGGACTGAAGTTGATAAAGGCTCCAAAATCAACATCTTTTCCATGATAAAGATCGCCAAAGAAACTGGAATCATAGTAATTTCATTCCTCAACTTAACCTTAATGGACTTTCGTGTCACTGGTTAAACTAATATTGGAAGCCAATATCTGCGCACAAGTGGAAAGTTGGTCCAAATACATAGTCTATGATTGACATGACAAACTTTTTCAAAAAACTTGTTACAACGACACTTGCATTGTAATACAATAGTGCGTAATAATATCTGAATATCTATCTGAATATGCATGATCGACGATGTAAGAAGTATTTCCAAGGCAGAGATGAACCAGTTAAAACTGCTTTACAAGTTGTGGTTAGCTTCAGTATTTCCAAAACAGAGATGAACCAATAAAAACAGCTTTACAAGTTGTGGTTAACTTCAGTATTTCCAAGTCAGAGATGAACCAGTAGAAACTGCTTTACAAGTTATGGTTAACTTCAGTATTTACAAGGCAGAGATGAACCCGTAAAAACTGCTTTACAAGTTGTGATTAACTTCAGTATTCCCAAGTTAGAGATGAACCCGTAAAAAACTGTTTACAAGTTGTTGATAACTTCAGTATTTCCAAGGCAGAGATGAACCCGTAAAACCTGCTTTACAAATTGTGGTTAACTTCAGTATTTCCAAGTGCCATAAATATGAGTTATTTTAACATTGTAATGGTTTAAGTTTAGCTTAGTTTAGTTTAGGGGGGGGGGGTGGGTCCTTTAGCTTGGCAATGCATTCTTTATTAAGCTACAGAGTACTTGTTCGTGAACGTACTTGCGACTAGTGAAATTTAGCTTATCAAGCGATATGTACACAGCGTGGTCACAAGTAAATAGACACCACCCTTTCAGAAAAAATGAATTTTTTCAGTCATATTCACACGAATTGATATATTTATAATTTAATTAATATCTAGTAGATCTTCCTTTCGCTTCATGGAGTTCGTTGATCCTTTATGGCATCGTGAGAATCATCTCGTTAATTTTAGATTGTGGGATTTTCGCCCACTCTTGCTTCAAAACTTGGAGTAGATCGCTCTTCGAAGTTGGTTTTTTTGGTTGTTTCTTGACTTGCCGGTCGAGTATGGCCCAGAGGTTTTCGACGGGGTTCATGTCAGGAGATTGGCTCGGGCCAGGGCAACTTCTGGATACAAGAACACAACGTTGTTCCAGGAAGATGGAGCACCGTGTCACACTGCTAGAAACACCCAAAAGTGGCAGGAAGAAAATGGTTCACGAAAACCGAGGAATAAAGTGACAAAAGTCCTTCCTCCAATATTTCGACGTATTTTGCAAAATTTATGTTGCCAACACACTCCACTAAGCTCGAGCTCCCACCAACCCAAACAGCACCCCAAACCATCACGCTGAAACCACCATGCTTCACAGTTGGCTGCAATCTGTTCAGCCAAAACTCTTGGTGAGGCATTCTCCAGACCCATATCCTTCCACTGTCCGAAAATTGAGTGAATCTTGATTTGTCTGAGAACAATACGGTCTTCCAAAAGTCCAGAGGCTTGGTCATCATATCACTTGCCCACTTCTTTTGTCTGACTATGTTGGCAGGTCTTAATAAGGGCTTCCATCTAGCTGCTCTGCAACGATAACCCAATCTGTGGAGAATCCGTTGAACAGATTTTGGGCTCATCCCACCAACTTTGGCCACTTCTGCAGTCGTTAATCTGGGAACCATTTCGGTGCTCCTCTTGATAGCCCTTTTTGTCCTCTCAGATGGACCAGGACGACTGATTCTGTTGACTGTCGAAAGAGGGATTCCCAAATTCTGCGAAATTTGCCGCTGACTTATTCCACCATCTGCTTGACCAACTATCCTTCCTCTAACAAAATCTGACAATTTGAGAGAACCTGGAGTTCTAGGGATGTTGTAGCACAAGATAATTAAGGTGCAGACCATTTTCATTTATATAGTGCTCTGTGAACACAAATTAATTAGCATAAACCAGTTAAATGACGAAAAATTAGGTGTCTATTTACTTGTGACCACTCAGTGTATATTTCCTCTGGTTATAAATTAAGTGTTTTGTCCATTTTCTCACTGGACCCCCAAATTTGTGTGCGTGACAAGAACTAATGTAGAACTACAAATTCTCAAAACAAAAAATAATGATACTGCGTTTGCAAGTGTTTTTATAAATCCAAATTATTGATGATAGAAATAAAATGGAGAGCAAATCATTGCAAATGTCAACAAGGTCAATGGAGAAACAATAGTTAGGGCCAGCCTTCAGCACTAAACTTCTCATAAGAGGAATAAGAACAAGGTGGTTGAGAAAGATATCAACTTAAAAGCAGTGTAAAATATTTTCTTTCTGTACTAGTAAGACTTGATTTTTTGCCACACAAAAGATAGAAAATACTATATATATATATATATATATATATATATTTTTAATGGTGTATTTTTCTCACTGAATATATATATAATCAAAATAGCACATACTTCTCCATGTCTCTAATTTGTGCTCTTCTAATTCCTCCATCTTCACCTGTTATAACAAGGAATGAAATAAAAACTTATTTGGAGACTTAATACTATGTCATATCTAAGAAAAACTTGTGATGGAATATGTTTTTAAAAAACAAGATGTAATAAAAACATGTCACTAGAAATGGAATGAGCAAAGAAAGTTGGCAAAATGATAAAAACAAATTATTTAGTTAAACACTTTTCATTTAATAAAAACCAGAAATTATAAATTGTTGAGTAACTCACCAAGGGAGACTTGTAGTAAGTCCTGAGAATGTGGATGAAATCAGTTATTGTTAACATACCTGAAAAAAAAAAAAAGATCAAAGTTTAATAAAAAATAAAAAAAACAATGCTATTTGTTTTTTTTTTTTAATATTGTTTAAATTTTCCATTAGAAAACACTGTAGTTAAACTTCTATGCAAATACTACTCTGTTATAGCATTACCAATTACAGTGATTCAAATATTTTTGATTAGTTACTTTGATAAACAGCCATAATTAAATTTTTCTTAAAATACATTAAACACTTGTAAATAAGGATGGTTTTACTATTAAACAATACCCATAGTTGGAATCTGGATAATGAGATACTGTGTGCATAAGAGGAGTATTAATAAAATAAATTGCAAAAATGTGTAAGAAGTACAAACTTACACACACGCACTATGTTACCAAAAGTTTCAGAACTGCAGACCATAAGCCACACATTGTGACCATGAATGATGTCTGGTGTGCTAAAACTGGGGGCAAACAAAAATGCAAGAAAAAAAATATGTAGGACAAGGGATCAGACTATTCCTTATTTGCTTTTGTTGGACAGGTCTGATTTGAACAGCAATCTAGAAAATTATTTGGTTGTGGATGGACAGAATTACAGACTGGTCCCATTTCAATTGGTTTTTGCCTCAGTATATTGTGACATTCTGGCATTGCTGCACTGCCTACATTGACGGAATACATCGGAAAGAACCATGCCCATATCAGCATGATAAATTAGTATACAACATATTGAATACAATAGCTTTTGAGACAATTTTCAAAACTTTCCTTGACATGAATCTATATGAATGTTGCCAGAAAGACAGAAATCTTACTACAATTGAAGCTGCTTCACAAGAAGAGTGGCAGTCTCATTCCACCATGTATGTACCAAGTGATGATAAATATTAACCCCATGACTTCTAGCACACTTTAAATTCCTTTCTGCACATGCAGGTGCACACACACACAAAAAATCACCGAGTTACATTCAAAATTTAATTAAGCCACTTTACTACCAATGTATTTTAATGAAATTAGCATTAATGAAATGCATTATAATTCAAAATTTTATACTATCCAAGTTATGCTTTTTATTTTGAAAGAAACCTCTGAAACAAACAATTAAAAGTTCAGTTTTGTTGTCATGCGACATGCATTCAGTTAAAATATCTTAGCTTTGGTTTCCATTTTGGTTTAGTCTCAGTACCCCTATGATAGTCTAGACAAACTACTAACCATACAAGATAAAATTTCAATCATCAGTTTCAAATTACAACAGCAAACATTGCAAGAAAAAGCTTTTATCATCCTCACCTCTGATACAAGCCACGCTCACTTTCCAAGTTATTCTGTTGCTAAGCAACAACCTTTTCTAGACTTAAATGGCATGCTTATAACCAATAGAAAGAGCAGATTTCTCATGCATTATGTATAATCTTATGTGATGCAACTGTTGACTACGAAGGTATAAAATTGCCAAGTACATTGTTGGAGATACTCGTACCTAGCACTTGGCTTATTTTTTTTTTATTGCCATATATGTATTAGTTTGCTATAGAGTTAAATAGCATTTAGGTCTTATCTTTATACTTTAGTTAATTACGTACTATTTGTGTTTTAAAATTCATATTTGAAAGGTTTAATGATTTTCCAAATATATTTAAGCATTGTATCACTCCACAAATGTTACCTAACTAAGTGACTTCAACAAAAATTTTTTTTAAGAGGCTAAACCATCTCTGCCAAAGATAATATCATATTGCCCACAGGCATCTGTTGAAGTGTCAACAAAAAAAAAAAGAAAGAATTGTAAAAGAAAATAAAATATCAAAAATAAACTAAGTGAAAAGGTAAAGACATCAAATTATGCATATGATCCAAAGAAGATCTTTTAAGATTATTCAACGAAGAGTTGAACTCTAGGTATATATTTAAATTCCTTAAATTTAAACATTTCATTGCACTGTATGTTGATAATAGCTAGAGTTAATGATATGGTAAAGAAAGTGTAGAATAAAATATAAACATTTACCTTAAACAATTTAATATTCATACAGGAGGTTCTAAAGATTATGCAAGTGAAATGTGAAAACTGTAAAATACCAAATAGTATTTTTTATACTTAACCTGAAACTCAGGTGAACTATTCAGAGTCCGAATGAAAATAACTAAATCAAATAACGAATGAAAAATTTTTTTTACAAAATATTAGAAAACAAAAATTAAATATTGTATTTCTCTGAAACTACATACTTTTGGTTACAGAATCCAAGTTGTAAATAATGGCAAAGGCAGGGCCTACTTTCTGTTAAGGTAAAACTTCAGTAGTAAAACACATTAAGAAGAATGGTAATATGTGGTCCCAATACTTTTCATAATAAAGAAGCAGGATATGCATGATTTACTTTATTTATAAACTTAGTTTGTTTGTTTGTTTTGAATTTCGCGCAAAGCTACACGAGGGCTATCTGCGCTAGCCGTCCCTAATTTAGCAGTGTAAGACTAGAGGGAAGGCAGCTATTCATCACCACCCACTGCCAACTCTTGGGCTACTCTTTTACCAACGAATAGTGGGATTGACCGTCACATTATAACGCCCCCACGGCTGAAAGGGCGAGCATGTTTGGTGGGATGGGGATGCGAACCCGCGACCCGCAGATTGCGAGTCGAGCGTCTTAACCACCTGGCCATGCCGGGCCATAAACTTAGTAACAAGACATTGGCAAATCGAGCTAGTATTTTAAACACATAGCTAGGATACCACAAGTTAAAGAAGTTGTAACAGACAATCTAACCATTAGGAATGAACACCACATTAGATACCTAGAATGTAACTAATCAGTAATGCTGTAAGTTTGATCACTCAAAAGTTGTGCAAGTCTCAAATAAGAGACTAAGTCTTCTATATTACAATTGTAAAAACCCACAATACAGAACGGATTCTCAATTACAAAAACTACCCTTGTATAATAAAAAGTGAAGCACTTGATGTGTAAATGCCCTGCAGCTGAAAAGACAAATCATAAATTACATATTGTGCATGCATACTTCTCTCTATGCTCATTTTCCAAAAAACAAAACTTACCCACAAATTCTTGCCGACTGCTATCCCAAAGCGGTGCAGCTCTGACTCCTAGAAATAAATGGTTGGGATCTTTGATTAGTTTCACTTTTATATATTACTTTGGTATTGCTTAGCAAAATAACTTAAAAATGTTGTGGTGTATTTGCTATCTGATTCCAATATGACAGAAGAATATTTCTCACTGCAACTACCTTATTTATATGAAGACAGTTTGATTATTTTGATCTGCATGGAAAAATTCACCTTATTAAAAAAATATCATGTTGCATTACTTTTAGCAAGTGCTCTGTGCCAAGCCTTAATACATTCACGACATTGTGCACCACCAGTGGTAAATTTGCACATTTTCTGTTGGACGTCGTGAGCCACCAGTGGTGCACACTATGATTTAAGTAATAATAATCAAATGACATTTTTTGTTGTTGTCTTATTTATGAAAGAGATCTCAATTAGTTTGTTTTTTTTGCTTCAGTTACTCAATAATAAATTTAATGAAAAAAAAAAATTATAAACGAGTGACAGGTACTCACTTCTCTTACCTACTTGGGTAAATAGGAATAGATTCAGAAGAAATTTAATGTGTTCAGGTCTTTCAAATGGAAGGATTCATATTTTTCTAACAAACCATCAAAAAAGGTACGGTTTTCATTTTCAGGCAAGTGAAGAAGTTAACAATACACAAGACTAAAAAAATATTCACGATTCATCATTGTACTACGAGACAACCACCAGGCATAATCCATTGAACAAATGTATCAGAATATTAGCTTTAATTTTTTCCTACTTTATTTGAAATGTAAAATGTACAACAAATTGTCCACAAATGACTGAACATTTACAGCACTAACTCTCTCACTAGGGACTATCAATTCAACCTAAATCTTGACCCCAAATTGACCTTTAAAGTTTTCCATGCTATAACTTAACATGTTTTGTGTATCATCACAAAATTTTGCAAGCTTTCAGTAAGCATTACAAGTCTTTTATAGACAGAAAATAAGAATTTTTAATGAAATATTTTTATACTTTTTTCATCTGAAAATTGTCAAATTTCATCTGCATAATCTCTAAAAATCTTCCAAAATAAATTTCAAAGTTTTTTTTTCAGTAAAAGTTTATACTTTACTTTCTTTACAATAACTATACAGGGTTGGTCTATTTGACTGACCTTGTAATCACCATGAAAATAAAGTGATATATAACTTCAATTTGTAACAGAAAACTAGAATAATCATAAATAGCTTAAAAGTAGTAACAGTATACAATTGTTTATACTTATATTTTATTGTTTTATTACCCTGTGAACCCAGTCTAATAATTCCACCACCACACACACACGATAATGGTACTACTACACTAAATTTTCTGTTTAACCCTTTTAAGACAGGTCACAGGTGAAAGACCATGTCATCTTGTTTGTTGACTCACATTCAAAATTTCATTGAACTACTATTTCATGAACTTATGTCAATAAGTTTGGTACCAAACTGTAGATTATAATTCAAGTTTTAGAACTATACATTACTCAATTTGTTAATTTAAAAGTAAATATTAAAAAACAGATGAACATCGATTTTTGTGTGTCATGTGGTATGTTGAATGCAGCACTGGTTCAAATTAGATGTTCGTGATGTCTAAATACCAAGTCTATAGTTTCATACAAATTAGGAACTCAAATTACAGATATTGACAAGCTAGAATATAAAATAAGAAGGTTTTTCTTTTCTATTTGCTAATATATTGCTAACGTAATAAATCAAACACAGTGTCACCCCGCTCCTCTTTCCATTTTTGGAAACTCTCCCTTATATACACTTACTTCTATATATGACATGAATAACTAATCGGAAGCTCAGAATGCCCCCCCCCCCCCTAGTGGTTTTCTCAGCCTTTCTAGCATTCCTTCTGCCATTTCTTTCTTTTGAATCAAGATTCCAATGAGGTAGGTTG